CCGGCTCCTAAATGCCAGGATGTGACAGACGCCCATCTGGGTGGGCTGTTCTGGAGCAGACTGGGCTCCAAGGTAGAGGAAAAGACCAGCCGCCTTTGCAGGGCCTGGTATCCTGTGAGTTTTTCCTTTAATGGTGCAAAGCCATTGTGGGAGGGGGAGTGTGCCACTGAGCTTTCCACACCCCCTCCCTGCCTGTCCCTCCTGCCACTCCTTGCTCTGGGGTGGGCGATGGCAGTTCTTCTTCCTTGGGGGGACCAGAGGGAGAGACATGTGAGAATAGGTCTTGCCCGGCTGTCTCTCCTCTGTATTTCTCCCCAGATGTGTGATGTTCTCAGTGCACCCTGCTGAGCAGAGCCCCAGGAAAGTTTCCCACACATTAGAGGGGTCAGTGGAGGGGGAGTGGGCAGCAGGGCACGTGGGGGAGGAGCAGAGGGGGAGGGGTTGAGCTCAAAGCTAAGAACCAATAGATGAGTGGGAGTTGGCAGGCGGGGTGGGGGGGACAAGGGAGGATGGGCTCTACAGACTCTTCCTGTGTTCCCTTTTAAAATTATTTTGAGAAGTTAACATGGACTAGTTGTTTTGAGTTCAAAAATGTATACAAAGATCCAGAATGAGAAGGGCTTTTCTCCTACCTTGAAGCCACACAGGTGCCCTCTGAGGCACTGCCTTGCCTCTCCTGCCTCCCGACAGTGGACCCACCATGGTTTCTCCAGACGCGGAATGACTGCCCCCCTGTACCCCATAGAGCCAGCTGGGCCTGATAAAGGGTTCTGGAAGAGTTCTGGGAGCAGGAAACTTAGATCCAAGCATTTCCAGAGACTTATAGATCCCCATGACCCGTTCTTAGGAAGGACCTGCTTTCTGACCTCCAATCACCCTCATCACCCCAAACCAGGAGTACCCAGGTGACCTGGCAAACCTTACGCCCCAAAGACACAGCCCACAGCCTTGGCCTAGTACTTTTAAATTGTTTTAAATTAGATCATCCTTGAGAGTGTTTCCTTGGGGACAGCTTCCCCATCGCCTGGGGGTTCTGTGGTCTGTGCCTGGGGTTTCTAGACTGATAAGTGTCCTACCCTTCAGAGACCATAGGTACTTGTGCACTGGATGGTGCTGGTGTATCTGCCTTAGATGGCCACTTGCCAGGGGCTGTCCCACCAGAGGGGTAGAGGCAGGGTGTGTGACATGGGGTCATGGTAGGCCACGCTCCCTGACTGGGCACCTACCTGATTTGTTCTTGTATTCAATGTCAAAGCCTGTAATGATGCTGTTCCCATCGAATCGCTGGGTCCATCGCAGGTTCATGCTCCGGGCCTTTACCTCCCGGATCTCCAGCTCAGGGGGGTCAGGGGGCTCTGGAGTGCAGCAGGGAAGGGACAGAAGTGAGGATGGCAGCAGGAGCTTGGCCTCCATACTCCGCTTGGGGGTGAGGTCATTAGTGGTCTAACCAGGGACCCTGGAGCTGGGGGAGGCCAGCAGCTGGGCTCAGAGGCTGAGAAGCCAGGTTTGGTCTCCTGCCTTGAGGCCTCTTTGCCTTGGCCCGGGAAAGGGCAGACCCCTTTTTCAGGGATTCCTCAGAGCTGAGGGCTGCTGCCCTCATCCCCCACCCCATGCAGAGCTCCCAACTTTTCTAACTTGAATTTTCCTTCCTGCACTTCCTCTAGGGGCACGTTCCCAGGAACCAGGTTCCCAACCCCTCCTGGAACCAGGAACTGATTGATTCTGTAGGGGCTGCAGCTCCTGCAAGTGGGTGCTTCTGAGGTGCCTGCAAAGGTCCTATCTCCCCACTTTGGGCTGGAGGGAAGGGGCAGGAAGCTTTCCCACAAAGGCCATTTCCTGTCATCCCCCACCATGGCGCTGGAGATGCTCCCTGCTTTTCTTTTTTCCTTGGTTCTGGGGATTGAACCCAGGGGGCTTAACCACTGAGCCACATCCCCGGCCCTTTCCACATTTTATTTTGAGATAGAGTCTCGCCGACTTGCTTAAGGCCTCACTAAGTTGCTGAGCTTGGCTTTTGAACTCACGATCCTCCTGCCTCAGCCTTCTGAGCTGCTGGGATGATAGGAGTGCGCCACCATGCCTGGCTGCCCCCTGCTCTTTGAGGTGGACTTGTCTGCAGGTTGCTGGCCCCTAGGGAGCAGACACGTGTCAGGAAGGTGGGCAGGGAAAGCACCTTGCACGGTGAGCTGGATCAAGCCCCTGTCCTCCCCGTACGAGTTGATGGCGTGGCAACTGAAGAACACAGAGTCCCCACGGTCAGCTGGCTTGAGCTGGGAGATGGCCCGCAGGGGCAGGAGAGGGAGGAAATGGGGAGAGCCTTTTAGAGTCCAGCTACTGAAGGGGGCCACTCCAGGGGTATCAGCAAAGGATATCTTGTTCTGGGAGGGGCTTTGTCAAGGGCTTCTCTTCCCAGAATGTTCCAAGATAGGGAGTGTGGAGGGGTCCATGCAGGGAGGAAAAGGTCAAGGGTCCTAGGAGAGGAAGGGGAGCCCGTGGTTCCAGAAAGGAGGGCTGAAGAACCCATAGCTGATGGCTGAGGGACTGTTAGGAAGGGATGTGGTGAGATCCCAGGTAGAGATTCCTGGGTGGGACTAGAAATAGGCGGGAACGGCTAGGTACATTTTGGTGTAGGGAAGGGCTCCCAGGCTCCCCATTTACCTCCTCTGGATACAGATTTGACATGGTGGGCTCCCCACTTTCAGAGAGTCAGGGTCCTTGGGGCCTGGGGCTGGGGCTGGGGCTGGGTACTCACCTTCAATGTGGAGACAACCTCATCGCCATTGTCCTTGGTGGCTATGGCATAGCGCATGACTCTGTCGGGGTCAATGACAGTGTCCCCTTTCTCCCAGCGGATGATGATTGGCCGCTCGCCACGCGCCGTGCAGTTCAGCTCCTTGGAGTGGCCCTTGATGGCGATGGTGGTGTTGGGGTGGGAGGTGATCATGGCTGGGACTGGGGAGGGAAAGAGGTGCATGGCACCGTGAGGGTCTCAGGAGCAATCCCGGGGGGAGGTGCACGTATTGCAGAAGCCCCGCCCACATTGCCCCATCCCCAGGCCCCTGGAGAAGGTCTGATAATGTGAGAGCCCTGTAGGGGAGCCTGTTTGCCTGTCCCTGGTCACTCTTGCTTCCATGTCTGGGATGCATAGCTCCCTCCTCACCAGGACTTCTTACATTCCCTGGACCCCTCTGGTGATGTCAGTTGACTTGGTTTCAAAATTATTTTACATGCACAACATACATAGAATTAAAAGGGAAACTGGTTATTACAGAAATACGGTTATGTAAATATTAAAAACATTAAAAAGCAGACTTTGGATATTGTATATCACATATTCATGCTTCTCTATTACTCATGAAAAAAAGATCTACCAGTCGGTCTTATAATTACTGTCTTATTTTACTGTGCTTTTGTGCTAGAGATGAGCACAAGTGATATTTTGAGATGTCTGCAACAAATGCGATCTGATGTGAAAATATCTGTGGATTTCTACTGGTGACAGTCACACAGACTGTACTGCTGTGGGTTGTGGCTGTTTTCAATGGCAGGAAATACTAAATTTCAGTTAGAGGCTAGAGAATAGAAGATGTGCTCTCCCCGCGCCCAACTCAAATTCTCCAGTCTCACCAAATCAAATTGTGGGCGGTCTCTGGACCAGGTCAGGACCCCTGCTCTGAACCTGGGGTCTCCATTTGTCTGTACAGCTAAAGCTTCTTTATTTCCATCCTGAGCTTTCCACCAAAATACCACGGTAAGCCCTTGAACAGCACCACCGCAACCGACAACCCTCAGCGACACTAACAGGGTCTCAGCTTCACCCCACCCTGTCCCATGTTCTGAGAAAGTCGCCAAAAAGCCACCCAGGCTGGTCATCCACCCCTCCCAAACCCTGACAGGACATTTGTCACCCACTGGTCCCTCCTCTGGGCCTGAGCACCTGGCCAGCCACAGGAGGAGGGGAGGGACAGGGGAGACAGAACAGGAGCCCTCAGAGTCCTGTCCCCTTTCCTCTGTGCAACTCAACCAACACGCACTGAGCTCTTAGGCCATCATGAGACAACTTGCAGGTCTTGGGGGTACATGTGACAATGAGTCAGGGTCCTTGCCTCCTGAAGGTAGACCCAATGCCTGGGGAAGCATGCATATTGGAGGCATGTGATGAGCGCTCACCCAGCTCAGGAGAAATTCTCTTGACTGGGGGCATCTGGGAAGGCACTATCCATCTGTCTCACAAGCATACATCGAGACCTACTATGTGCCAGGACCTGTGCTGGCTTTGGGAGTCACTGAACAGGAGGAGGACGGCCTCTGGTGGCAGGGAGTCACATTCCAGGGTGAGAACAGGCAAGGAACCAATGGCCGAGTCAGGAATGGCAGTTGGCCGAGGGGCACCATGCACGCCTGGGGACCTGAGATGAGGAGGACAGAGGCCTGGCACCCCAGGGAGGGGAACTGCCTGAGCAAAGGCTCAGAGACAGCCATCTCTAGGGCAGGCCCAGAAAGTGAGTGGTCTGATGCGACAGGGGGTGATCCTTGGGCTTCTCTTTTCCTCACCACCTTTCAGGGAAAACTTGCCGCTCAGAGTGCAGGTGCTCAATAGCTCTTGTCCTGAGAGGGTGATCCAGAAACACGTCCTGGGCCGCAAAACCCAGACACCTCCCACCCCCACATTCAGCAGAGGAGCCCTCCTCACACCCGGTTCTACAGAGCAGAGACCTGTCACCACAGCCCTGTCAATGGTTTGCTTGGGCAAGGAGCAAAAAGAGGCTCTGTCTTCTCTCTGCTCAGAGCTGGTGCTCTGCCCCTTTTTCCTGGCACCATGTCTTGGCTCTGTCTCGGTGGCTGCCCCTTTCTTCCCAGTATTCTCAGGATTTCTCTCCTCTCCAGTTTTAAAGCCCTTCTCAGACAAAGTTCTTCCTAGCCGACTCTCCAGGGACATCTGATTTTTATGGACAAATAAGTCTTTGGAGAAAGGAAGGAAGCCACAGGACTGGAAGGGTCTGACCTGCGACAGCAGCCAGGGGATAAGGGGGACATTTGGAACAGGTGCCGGGGGATGACCTTTCTGGCTCCCTGAAGTCATGCCATGCAGACAGCCACCCCCTCTGCTGTCTTGTCAAGCGGGATTGGATGTTGAGGCCGGGCCTTGGCCCCAGGTCCCAGCACATTCCCTAGCCCCGGCTCATCAAATAATGAAGCAGATAAATTTTATAATGCACAGCATTACACTAAGATATACAATAAAACGCGAAAGACAAATAACGAGGTGCAAGTTATAATGAAGAAAAAGCCTGCAGTCAGAGACATCCAAGTATGAATTATTGACTAAGGTTTTACACTCTCAAGGATGTGCGGAGGAATATTTTTCCATCAAAGATTTGCATAATTCACTCGTATAAACCTGGGTGGAATATAGAGTGAGGTTTTACGTCAACAAGTCAGGCCTTGCATTGCAGATGCCTCCATTTTTACTGGAGGATGGAGATGCTGGGGCGTGGGGGGAGGCACAGGGCTGTTTCTGTTCTTCCTACAAGGAGCGATCCAAGGCTGGGATCTGACCCCTGGGTTGGTTAGGTCCTAAGGCTGTCCTGTTCTGGGGAGGAGAATCCTGTTCCTGGAATGACTGTGGAGCAGTGTGTGTGTGTGTGTGTGTGTGTGTGTGTGTGTGTGAGAGAGAGAGAGAGAGAGAGAGAGAGAGAGAGAGAGAGAGAAAGGAGGGTGGAGCGAGGGCCACCCTTAGCAGGGGTCAGCGTCTGAGAAAGGGCAGGAGAAGGAAGAATCTTTCCCCACTGGAGGACCTCACAGCTCTGCACCAGGGTGAGAAACTGGCACCTCTGTTCTGCTTTCCAAGCTCAGCCTGTAGCAACCTATCTAGGGCCTGTGTGGGAAGCATAAAGGTCCCTCTTGGTAGATGCAGCCTGGTACTAGGAGGCACAACTTGGCCAGTGGAACGGAAACCAGATTTCAGACCCCACTCACCAGTAGGATGTGGATCTTTGAGCAGTGCACAACTTGTGTATCCACACATGTTAGTACCAATTCAGGGAACTTATCTTTCCTCTCAGGGTTATTCAGAGACAGGCATGTGGATAGAGAGGGGCAGCAGGGTCCTGAGAGATCCTTTGTCCCTTAGTCCTGTATAACAACCCCACTTGGAGCCTGAGGCAGGCTCCCACCCTCTCTTTATGAGCTGCCCAGGCCATCTTTACCGCCCTGTAGCTCTGGACTAGCTCAGGGGAGCAGGCTATGCAGAAGAGCTGGAAGAGCTTGGGGCCAGCTGACTTGAAAGTTCTAGCTCTGTCGGTACCAACTATGTGGCCTCTGTTACATTTAAGGCCACCTCTGCACCACACAAGTCCACTTCTGCACCTCACAAGTTCACCTCTGAACCTCACAAAGCAGTGGTGAGGACGAAACGAGTGTATACATGTAGAATGCCTGCCACGCGACCACGGGCAAGAAGCCTGGTTGCACAGCCACCCCCACAAGGCTCTCCTGCCTGCGCCTGTCCAGGGAAAGCATCAGATGTGTCTGTGGGCACCAAGCTCCTGGCTGAAGATGTCACTGGCTAGACTGTTTCACAGGGTCACTGCACCTGCACCAAAACCTGCTCTCCAGCCAAACGTGAGTTTGGGGCTCTGGAATCCTAGCTGCTCCGATTGCACTGCACGTGTTAGACACCGGAGTTTTAAAATGTGGGAAAAGAAAAAAAAGAATGTAAACTGTCTCATTAATATCTTTTACATTGATTACATTTTAATATTTTAGAGAGATTGAGTTAATATTCTATTCCCATTAATCTTACCTGTTTCTTTTTCACTGTTTTGAACATGGGACAATGGGAAGGTTTGAAATTCCGTGTATGACTTCTGCTATGGCTTTGCTGAATGGCACAGTATAGGTCATCCACTCTGACCCACCCTTCCCTTTACAAATGGAGAAACTGAGCTTGCCCAGGAAAGCGATTTGCTCAAGGTCACTTTGCTAGCAAGCATCAGATTCTACTGTCATGTCTAACTAAAACAAAACAAAACAAAACAAAACAAAAAAACCAGGTGTGATGGTGCACACCCTCAAGTCCCAGCTACCTGGGAAGATCACTTGAGCTCAGGAATTTGAGGCCCAACATGGGCAATGTAGTGAGACTCTATCTTAAAAAAACCAATCCAACTCGACCCAACCCCAGTTGGGAGAGAGTGGTACTCCACACTGGTGGCCACACTACTAATGGTGGGCGGTCAGGCCAGGCGGGCAGACCTACCTCCCATTTGTAGGACTAACAGTTATAAGCTCAGGCTGCCCGTGAAATATTCTGTCCAGTTCTAGACACTCGCCTTGGCAGAAGACATTGACCACCTGGGTCTGTCCAGGGAGATGACCGGACTTCACATGGTTCTAGAATCTGGGAATGTGGGGACTGCAGGGAGTGAGGGGGTCATAGGCAAGGCAGAGGAGGGGGCCTCCTGTTAGGCCCAAGGAGGAATTTTCTAGTAGTTCCTGCTGTTTAGGGAAAGGACTGACGTGTGGGGCAGCAGTTCTCTGTACCAGGGCTGGAAGACCAGGGAAGAGAAGAGCTGGGGCCTGGGTCTAAGCCCTTGTCTCTGGGTCCTGGGGGTGTCTGGGTCTCAGGGGAGAGGACTTATGGCCCTGGGGAAATGGCTGTTTAGGAAAGGGATCCCCATGATCAGGGTACACATCTCCTGGCATATGGGGGTCTTCAGTCCCTTGTCCTGGACAAGCAGCAGGGAACACTCCTCTGTTCTCCCTGTCCCACAGTCTTCCCACCAGCAAACTAGAACAGAGACCCCTCCCTCCTCCAGGGTCTGTGGTCCTCTCCTGTGCCCTTGACTGGGGCCTCCTGGCTATTGCACGGCTGAGCCCCAGGCAGCAGGTGCTGGCCCCGCTCTCCCTCTTCCCTGGCCTCGCCTCCTGCTCTGGGCCACGAGGACTCC